ATATCAAATTATTCGGCTTTAGTTAAACCCCTAATAGAGGAAAATATAACTGAATTGAATTATTGCAAAACTCATAAGGCGGATCCCGGATTTAGCTGTAATATAGCTTTAGCTTATCCGTGTTCCAGGTTCTCTTAATTCCTTTTCCTTCTATTGTCTCTAGGATGTAAGCTCCTTTTTCGAGCTTCTCTTTAACTCGGTATGGGCCTTCCCAATTTGCAGCTAGCTTTTCGTCCCTGGCGTTTTTATTGCCAATGTATGTCCTCCTGAGTACCAAATCATTTTTCTCAAAGATTCTTGATCTCACTTTTTTATTATATCTGACCGTTGTTTGCTGTTTGGCCATTATATCCTGGCAGTGAGCTATAACTCTAGCTTCGTCAACAAGATCTAACTCAATAGTCAGCAGTTTGCTATTTTGTAGTTTGCCTTGTTTGACACTATTCAACCTCCTCCAAGAAGGTTCTCCAATTTCCACCAGAATCATGGCTTCACAACCATATGTTAGTCGAAAAGGGGTTCCCCTGTTGCAGTTTGGGTACATGTTCTGTATCCCCAAAGGGCGAAATATAGCTGCTGAACCCAACTTTCTTCGACCTCAAACATCCGGTTTTTAAGACCGTCCATGATTACTTTGTTTGCTGCTTCAGCTTGTCCATTCGACTGTGGGTTCTCCACAGATGCAAAACGATGTTTGACTTGCAAGTCATTCATCAATTATCGAAACCTTTTATCAGCAAACTGTGTTCCATTATCAGTTACCACCTCAGCCGGTATTCCAAATCTGGAGACAATATTCCTTTTGAAGAACCTTTGTAATCTAGCCGAGGTGATGGTGGTGACCGGTTCTGCTTCTATCCATTTTGTGAAGTAATCCACAGTTACAATCAACCACTTTAATTGTCTTTCAGCAGCTTTGAAGGGTCCCAGCAGATCCATTCCCCATTTGTAAAAGGGCCATGGAGCCGAGATATATTTTAGTTCTTCAGGTGGTGAAAGAATTAGCTTGGTATGCTTCTGGAAACTATCACATCTCTTGACATGATCTTTAGAGTCTGCCTCCATAGTCGGCCAATAATAACCAGCTCGGAGGGCCTTTCTAGCCAAAGCTTTGCCTCCCATGTGATGGCCATTGATTCCTTCGTGTATCTCGGCTAGAACATATTCTGCCTCTTCCGAGTTCAAGCATTTCAGCATGGGTACATGCAACCCCTTTCTAAACTGCTGATCATTCACAATTGTGTATTGTGCCGCATCTCGGACCAGCTTCTTAGATTCCAGTCGATCTTCTGGCAATATTCCTTTCTCAAGGTATGGCACTATGGGTTGCCTCTAGTCATTTGCCGAGGTGAAGATCATCACGCAACTCAGCATAGTTATGCTTTGTTGTACCACGGTTCTGTGGTTACCTGGATTTTTGGTACTTGCCAATTTAGACAAGATATCAGCTCGTCAATTTTCCCCTCAAGGAATATGAGTAACTTGCACTTTATCGAAATCGGTCATCATCTCTTGAATCTTGCTCAGGTATTGCATCAATAGAGAACCTTTGGCCTGATACTTTCCTTCTATCTGTGAAGTTACCAATTGTGAATCATTGAAGATTTTTACCTTCTTAGCTCCGTGTTCTTTAGCCTGCATCAATCCGGCTATCAAAGCTTCATACTCTGCTTGATTGTTCGAAATTGGGAATCCCAAGTTCAAGGAGTGTTCTATTGTCACTCCTTCTGGGCTTTCGAGTATGATTCCAGCTCCACTTCCTTTATCGTTGGAGGATCCATCTACGTAGACCTTCCATGCATCCCCATATTTGTTATGTTCCGGGTTCATCGGTGTTAGCTCCATTATGAAGTCGGCCAGAGCTTGTGACTTGATGGCCTTCCGACTTTCATATGTTATATCATGCTCACTGAGCTCAATTGCCCAATTAGTCATTCTTCCTGCCAGGTCCGGCTTGTGTAACACCTGTCGTATAGGTTGATTAGTCCGAACTATTATTTGATGTCCCTGGAAATATAGCCGCAATCTTCTAGCCGTGATCAGCAAAGCAAAGGCCACCTTTTCTAGTTTTTGATATCTGACCTCTGCACCTTGCAAGGCTCTGCTGATGAAATAAATTGGCTCTTGGCCTTTATCAGTTTCCTTGATCATGACAACATTTATTGCCTGTTCCCCCACAGCCAGGTATAAGATCAGAGTATCTCCTGGTTCTGGCTTTGAGAGTACTGGTGGGTACATTTCTTGACTTTTTCAAACGCGGTTTGACATTCTAGATCCTAACCTTTCCTTGCTTTCTTTTTTAACAATTTAAAGAAGGGTAGGGCATTTTCAGCAGATTTTGGTAATGCAGCTAATCTACCAATTAACTGTTGAACCTCCTTTTTATTCTGGGGTACCTTCATATCAAGTACTGCTTTGCACTTGTCAGGATTTGCTTCAATTCCTCTATGGGTTAGCATGAAACCCAAAAACTTCCCAGCTAGGACTCCAAACGCACATTTTACCGGGTTTAGACGGATGCGATACTTCCCGAGCTTCTGAAAAGTCTGCTCAAGATCCTGGACATGATTTGTCATATCAAATGACTTTACAATCATATCGTCAATGTATACTTCTACATTTTTGCCCAGCTGATCTTCAAACACCTAATTCATCTTCCTTTGATAAGTTGCCCCTGAGTTTTTAAGCCCAAACAGCATGACATTGTAGCAGTAGTTGGCCTTTTCAGCAATAAAGACAGTTTTTTCTTGATCTCCTGGGTACATTGGAATCTGGTTGTAACCAAAATATGAATCCATGAAAGACAACAATTGAAACCCAGCCGAGTTGTCTACCAGCTGGTCTATGTTAGGCATAGGGTAGGAGTCTTTTGGGCAGACCTTGTTCAAGTTCGTATAATCAGTACAGACTCTCCACTTCCCATTTGGTTTTTTCACCATCACCACATTCGCAAGCCATGTTGTGTACTGTATTTCTCGAATGAACCCAACATCCATCAACTCCTTCACGTGTTCCTCCAGGACTTGTTTCCTTTCTGGTCCCAATTTCCTTTTCTATTGAGAAACCGGTGTGGATCCAGGGTAAACTGCCAGCTTGTGGCAGCAGAAGGCAGGATCTATGCCTGGGATCTCTGATGACTTCCAAGCCAATACATCAGTGTTGCTTTTGAGGAACCCGGCTAACTCTTATTTGGTCTGAGGATCTATAGTCTTACCAATTCGGGTAAATTGACCGGGTTCTTTCCCCAATGCAAGGTCTTCTAATTCTCCATCAAGCTCAGGCCTCGAGATTATTTCTTCTCTTATGTCCAGTTCAACCACGTTAACGGGCTTCCTTGAATGGTGAGGAATTATCTCCCTGCCGAGTTTGTCCCCCGGATGAATACGAGGAGGACTCGAATGTCCGCCTTCATTCTCTTTGACTGTGTCAAAATAGCATCCTCTGGATTCCTTTTGATCTCCACAAATAGTAATTATTTCATTTTTACTGCTTACCATTTTTATTTTCTGGTGCTTCGTGGAAACCAGCATGTCCCACTGGTGTATGGTTGGTCTTCCCAGAATTATATTATATTCTGATGGGAAATCAGCCACTATGAATCTGACTCGTTCTGATTTGAACGCTTGTTTTGTTCCCAAGGTAAACCTGAGGTCTATATAGCCTTTAGGAGGTGTATGCTCTCTATTAAAAGCTATCAAGGTCGTTGTGCAAGGTTTGAGGTCCTCCTCATCCAGGTTCATCTTTTTGAAAGCATCCAAGAGTATGATGTCGACACTACTTCCTGCATCGACAAAAATCTTCTTAACCCGACAATTCACCAAGGTTTCAGCAATGACTAATCCATCTACATGTCCCAGCAACACACTATGCATGTCCTCTTTTGTGAAATACAAGAGAGGAGGATCTAGTTTTCTTAGGTCTTCCTTGAATTTAGGACGATCTCGAATAGAGAGGACCTCTTTCAAATATTTCCGTATGGCACTTACCGTGTCTCCTCCCCCTCTAAGGGCTCCACTAATTACATTGCAGTCAAATTCCACTTCTGGGAACTCATCATGGTTGGAATCATCTTTTTGGTTCCTTTCATCCTTACTTTTCTTTTCAGGAACCGGGCTTTTACTTCTCTTTCGGTTTCCTGACTTCCTTTTGTTATTTTTGGAACCCTGGGTTTTGATCACATATTGGCGTAATCTTCCATCTCTAACAAATTTCTCCACAGCATCTCGGAGATCCCAACATTGATCAGTAGTGTGACCCGGTCCATCATGAAATGCACAGTACTTGGACTTGTCCAAACCTCCTCTGTCAAATATGGGCCGGGGTCTTTCTACTTTCTTCATTTCTGTCATTGCCACTTCCCTCCAGATTTGAGAGCGTGGTACATTCAATGGTGTGTACTTATCATACCTTCCAACTCGATCTCGGTCGTCCGGGATTCTGGCCCTAGAGTCTTTTTTCTTATTGTCAACTCGTTCCTTTCCTTTCGGGTCCGGACTTCTCCTTCTCAGTCTAATTCTTTTACCCTCTTCAGATTGCGCATTTGCAATCTCCATTTGCTCGAGTTCGAGGTACTTCTTCGAACGGGTTCTAAATTCTTCCAATGTCCTCACTTGGTCCTTATAAACTGACTTGGCTAGCCTGGATGCACCATCCAAACCAGCCACAATGAGATGTACGTGGACATTTTCTTGTAAACCTGACACTTGCAATGCAGCGTCCTTGAACCGATTGAGGTATCTCTAAAGGGTTTCTCCAGGTTGTTGACGTATCTTTCCAAGTGTGAACTCGGACTTTGGATTTTTTTGCTGGTTGCAAAGTTTAAGAGGAATTTTTGTTCGAATTCCTCAAAAGATCCGACAGAATTAGCAGGAAGGGTTGAAAACCATGCCTGCGCTGCCCCAGCTAGGGTTATGGCAAATATCCGGGATATGAGGGGTTCATCAATTCCTCGGATATACATGTCCGTATCGAAAGCATCTATGTGAACCTGTGGATCCTAACTTCCATCGTACTTCGACAAGCGTGCCGAATCGAAATCCTCTGGAAAAATAGCGTTCAATATTTCACCAGTGAAAGGGTTGTTATTATACTGCCCCTTGCTGTACTTCCTTCTGTACCCACCGGGTTCCACCCGCCCTCTGATGATTTGTGCATTCTGGTTGGGGTGGATTCCATCCCGGTCTCTCTGCCCATTAGCTTATGCTAAAGCGTTTTAAGTCAAGGCTTGCACAACGGCATTTTGACCATCCACTGTCTAGTTTTCCAAGTTCGGATTCATTGTGTTCACTGGATTAGGCCTTTCACGGTTTTCCACCTCAGTAACCCAGTTCTGTTGAACCAAGTTGCGATTTCCTTCCTGGCCATTAGCATCCTGGCCTTCGTTTCCTCTCGCCCCTGGTTCGGTTACCCCCATTAAGCATTGTTCCAGGTCTCGCATTCCCCTGGTATTTTCCTCTTGTATCGCTTGGAAGTCTTTGCCGCTGGAGGTTATTATGATTTTCCATCTCTGTCATTCGCTGCATAATTGCAGCAAACGTATTCTGAGCCAGCCGAGAATCTGGATCCGCTGATTGGGCAACGCGCGCAGCAAAATCCCCAGGATACTGGGGAGGGTTATTCCTTACTGGAGCCATAATAGGAGCCACACCCCTACCATGACGCGCTGGAGTGGAAGCGGTGTCCGAGACATCTTCACTGATATGGACATGATCATAATTCACATCGTTTCCTGGCTGGTGTTGAGTTTGATTTACCTCTTCCAGAACTGGATCCACTGGTTGGTTCTAGTTTTGGGGTGGCTGCTAGCTATTGCTCCTTGTTTGGATTGCCATCCTTCGTCAGATTACTGGGAACTTCAAATTCAGAGAAGAACTGTCCTTGGGATAGAGATGTCCAGCCCAATAGACTAGTATGTTTCTCTTGGATCTAGTGCCCTCTCCAAAGTATCTATAAAGGAGATACCCTTGAGTCAAGTAGATCACTGTGCACAGAATACTATAACGGCGTTAGCCAATGGGGTGTGTGCGCGCGCACAGTGACAACATAGCAGTAAGAGAGAGAGAGAGAGCGTAACGTACCTTTAAGGTTTACCTTGTATTTATAGAGGTTACCTGTGGGTAGCGTGGATGGGCCTTTGATGCCTCTGATAAGGGCCCTGGCCTGCTTGCTATGCTGTCGTATTAGGATTAGTATCCTTGATGGACATCTATCCATAATCATCACTGATTCAGATCTTGGATTGCCCCTTATTGGGCTTATTACATAATGGGCCCCTTATAGGAGCTCTTTGACCAATTGGGGTTTTTTTGTGATTTTATTTTATCAATTTAGTATTTGGTTCAAGGTATTTACGAATGAGGGTCATTTAGTGACGCGAGGGGGACCCAGCGTCACTGAGTGCCGCTACCAACCCCCCGCGCCACTCATACTTTTTTTTTTTTTTTACTTTTTCCTATTGAGTGCCGCCCCCCTCCCCCGGGGCACTCACAGAATTGTGCCAAGTGGCACAATCTGGTTACTCATATTACCGTAAAACTTCGGAAAGCCATAACTTTTGACTCGGGTATTCAAATCAGATGATTTTTTTTGATTTCACATAACTTTTCGAGATCTACACAATGAAATATCATTTAACATATTTTATCTATCACAAACATAATTTAAATCTATAAAAAAGTGTAATTAGTGTTACAAATTTGAACTATATTAGTGAAAGGTAAAATATATCAAATGAGATGTCATTGGGTAGATCTCGAAAAGTTATGTGAAATCAAAAAAAAAATCATCTGATTTGAATACCCGAGTTAAAAGTTATGGTTTTCCGAAGTTTTACGGTAATAGGAGTAACCAGATTGTGTCACTTGGCACAATTCTGTGAGTGCCTCGGGGGAGGGGGGGCGGCACTCAATAGGAAAAAGTAAAAAAAAAAAAAGTATGAGTGACGCGGGGGGTTGGTAGCGGCACTCAGTGACGCTGGGTCCCTCTCACGTCACTAAATGACCCCCGTTCGTAGATACCTTGAATCATATACCAAATTGGTAAATTAAAGGAATAAAAACCCCTAATGGGTGAAAGAGCCCCCTTATAGGTCCATAACAGACTCTAAAATGATATTTTAAAATTCTAATCGAATATCACGTGACTTTTTTCAATTTTTTAAAATTTTAATTGAATATGAATGAATTTTTTTTTGAAAAATAATTCTTTAAAATCCTTTAAAATTTCAATTCTGTTTTGTC